ATTCTAACGTTTGCGTATCACCTGGTGACTTGACCCGTATTTTATTTCCTTTGCCCCTGTCTAATCCCTAATTTTAAACCTTCTCTTTGTGGTTGTTGTGTGGTGGTGTTGATAATAATGATACACTGTTTTACGACTACGATTTTGTTTGAGTGAATTCAGGTCATTCTGACTTTCTTCTGTTAGCGGGAAGTAGTCCAGTGTGTGTGTGTGTGTGTGTATATATGTTTGATTCATGCTGCCGACAGAGTTTTAAGCCCACTTTGTTGAGAATATTAGTCTATTTGATTCTTAGTAATACTTATTTTGTACAATGAACTGTATATGGGCTGCGTAATAGCATTTTCGAGATAATTTTGTGTTGATAATATGTGTGTTATAATTGTTTAAATAATGCAGCACATAATAAATGTCTTTTTGCTACCGTCGGGACATTTTAAAGCTGGTTTGGTTTAACTATTACAGAAAAGAATGTATTGATTGACTTTCTGCGTTCAGACTAGCATATGTCGGTTTTGCTCGTTACATGTAGTACCTACCTATTACTGAAGGAAGCCATTGTTACTATTGTAGTTCTAATGGCTAGCGTATCATGCCACATGGTGAATAAGATATTGGGTTTTTTTAGTGTTAAATTCCTCCATTATTACTTGCTGTTTTAAGAGGGTAGATCACCTTGGTCTGGCTAGCAAGCACTGCTGGTTGACATGAGTGGTGTGTAGCTACAATCAGTATTACATCGTTTTATTTGAGTGATAATGAGGTTAGATGTGGAATGTTCAGTGGGGGTTGTGTGGCTGTGTCAATTGAGGTGCCTAGGATATGTGTGTTGCGTATGTCTCAAACCAAAAGTTGGCATTACTCCATGAAATCCTTGGCAGTTGCTTTGAGTCAGGCACGTAAAAAAGTGTAAGCTGCTTAGTGAGGTTCCTCGGGATGCTGATGATAACCAATGGTTGGAGACAGTCATATGGCTCGAAATCGTTCTCAACTCTTTGTGATCAATCATGTCTATTAAATCCTATTGTTTTCCTATGTAACTACTATTCTCTACCCCTCACATTTCTACTTATTACTATTATCATCATTCTTTCGAATCTCTTTCTTTCCTCTCTGATGTCTTCCTTTGTATGTAACATGGAGTGTGGCAAGTTGAACTGCTACACTTCTGGGCAAAGTTCTATTGTAACAACAGAAGACAAGGGCCAGGCAACAGATCGTTTTATTATGAAAATCAACACGTATTTATACATATTTCACATACATTATTATAGCTTATGCAAGTAGACAAGCGCAGTCATCTGATTGGTTGTTTATCAGAAGTTAGGCAGACAAACGCAGGCTTCTGATTGGTTGCTTCGGGATTCCTCGACAAATAGAGTTCTCTATCTGCGAATCATATTTTGCCACGTTAACTTTGCTGTGATTGGTTGTTGAATCAGCCTTGCTCATATTTTCTCACGGCCTGCTCTCACCACACTCGTCCCCCCGTCAAATACGTGCGACTGAAGTCGGCTTGATCTACTTGGTGCAGGCGTCATCGTTGGCTTGTCTCGCTGTATCCATTTCTGGAGCTCGCTGACGTTCACGCGCCTCTCATTGTTCGTCATTGCGATTGTGTCCACGTAATCCCATCTCGAAGTGACCATATGTGGTCCTTCCCACTTTGGAAACTGTTTGCCTGACCCTGTCGAACATTCGTCAGTATTTCGTCTCACACTTTCATATGCTGCTTTCACCCGACCTCCCAGCAGCGTCCCAAGTAGCAGCTCCATCGCTGACAGATCTTGAACGCCACTCAACTGCGCAGAAGCCTTGAAGTCCTGCCCGAAGATCCATATGTCTCCATCAAAAACAGCAGGGCATAGGCTTTCCATTTGTCGGTAGGCAGCGACACCAAAATACCATTTCGTTCCCGTTTCACTGAATAAGTAAAGAAACAATGACAACTTTGAGCGGTGGATCACTCGGCTCGTGCGTCGATGAAGAGTGCAGCCAACTGTGTGAATTAATGTGAACTGCATACTGCTTTGAACATCGACATCTTGAACGCTTGCGGCTACGGGATATCCTGTGGCCACGTCTGTCCGAGGGTCGGCTTTCCATCTATCACGATGCACTTTAAGTCGTGGATTGGGTGAGTGCCTGCAGGGTGTATACGTATATCAACGCGGGTTGCTGGTCAAAGGCTCCGTCCGAATTTTTCGGCCACAGCCTAGTCTGGTGTAAACTTCTGATTGAGTCGCCACGGTGGTTGTGCTCGAGTCGTAGCTTAATGATATACATATGGTCACTTCGAGATGGGATTACGCGGACACAATCGCAATGACGAACAATGAGAGGCGCGTGAACGTCAGCGAGCTCCAGAAATGGATACAGCGAGACAACCAACGATGACGCCTGCACCAAGTAGATCAAGCCGACTTCAGTCGCACGTATTTGACGGGGGACGAGTGTGGTGAGAGCAGGCCGTGAGAAAATATGAGCAAGGCTGATTCAACAACCAATCACAGCAAAGTTAACGTGGCAAAATATGATTCGCAGATAGAGAACTCTATTTGTCGAGGAATCCCGAAGCAACCAATCAGAAGCCTGCGTTTGTCTGCCTAACTTCTGATAAACAACCAATCAGATGACTGCGCTTGTCTACTTGCATAAGCTATAATAATGTATGTGAAATATGTATAAATACGTGTTGATTTTCATAATAAAACGATCTGTTGCCTGGCCCTTGTCTTCTGTTGTTACACTATGTTGAAACTGAATTAGTCAATCAGCTACGCAATGCCGAGCCGTCGCCCTGGTGAATATTAGATAACATAAGATTAGATTAGCAGAGAATTAGATGTGATTGATTGTTAGCCAAACGATTGTTAGACATCAACCATGTATCCTGGTGTGTGCCGTAAGTTACAGATAGTTACCAGACTATTCACTAGGATACCTCTGTGATTCCAGTTTTGCCATGACCCAAATTCTCATTTCACGTTCAACTATTTATTTGTTTGTGTATTACTACCACCGTCTATGCCAAACTGTAAAATATGCGGATATTTTTTTCAAATTATATTATACACTTCCAATATTGATCAGTTTTCTTTATTACCCTTTCCAATTCAAGTTATTTTAGTCTAGGGAAATGACCTATTTATTGAAAAGCATAAATGTATGCATATTATGTAATGAAAAACACATTAAGGTGTTTCACAGCATGAAGTCAATATTCTCCCTTACTTAGTGAAAAATAAACACGCACCTACTTTATTGTTTAGTCTTTCTACTATACCAGTTCTGTTTTAATGCATGCAGTCCTGTTGTGTGTATGTATGTGTGTGTGGGGTGGGGTGGGGTGGGCATGGGGTTTATTTTTGTGCAGGTGCGGATTACTAGTGCTTAGGTGTTATACCACACGCATATTGTTCTGCCTAGACTCTCGGTCGGTTAACGCACTCCTAATCCTTTTTTGGCTGGAGTTAGTTAGCCTGGTGGTATGCATGAAGAGAGAAGGTTGAGATCATGAGACAACTATCAGTCCCATCCAGTTGAAAAAAAAACTCCACCACTGCTGCTGAAACCTGAATGCTGAAGCTTTCGAAACCCCCCAATGTTTCATTCTCACTTAGAGGGAATAATCCTAATATTAATGATAAATATAATAATTACTTATGTCCAGAATTTTAAGATAGTCTATCTTAGTCCGTTTGTTAGCTAAAAGTCAGTCATCTAGAAAAGATTATTCTTATGCTAGTATATGAGCCACATACTTATTATATGTGAAGGCTAACCAAGTTGCACGGGACTCAGACAAACTAGCTGAAAATTGAGTTTTTAAGCCAATGAGATGCAGCAATTTGCACATCTCTTCTTCGCAGCAGCTAATTTTGACTTTTCGCACATTCAAAAAAGATATGTGCTTGACTTCTACTATGAAATGTCACTTATAGCTAGCGGTATCTCTCTTTGTCTGTGTGTGTACGTACATGTGTTTATCTTACTCCTTCCTGTAGACTCTCCACTCTGAGATTACTAAATAAAAACAACTTTTGATTGGTTGCAGGACTTCATCATGAGCTGACTTAAATCAGTTAGAGAACCATTGGAAATCCTAAAAGGAGTACTACACTGCTGTTTCGTCCCAGCTTGGGACTTTCGGCAGTACGCACCCTCTAGGACTCGAACCTGGGATCCACTGGTTACAAGGCTAGTGGGGGACATGATCCAATAGCCAGCCCATGAATTCTAACTTCTGCCAATTTATCATGTAGAGTGACCACTTCGTAGTGTCTTCTTCGATAAGTTACTACCTCATCTTTAACCTGCTGTACATTAGGCGGTCACGGCTTCCCAAAAGAACCCCAGGTTAACTGCCTGAATTAGGGCCAATCGCTAGTGAGCGTCAGAATAATTTCCAAGTATTGATTTTGTAGGGATTTTGTTTGATTGGCTGGAGGATTTCTTCAGGAGCTGATATCAGTTAAAATTCATGAACTGGCCATTGGATCGGGTCCTAGTGGCTTCTGAATGGTCTAACGAGCTCTTTAGCCTTGTAACCATAAGGTCCTGGGTTCGAACCCTGTCTGTGTGGGATGTTTGGGTACTGCTGAAGAGTCGCAAACTAGGCTGACGAAACAGGAGACTGTCCAGTACTCCCTTTGGCTGGTTTTCCAATGCTTTCTCTAACTGATGTCAATCAGCTCATGATGAAATCCTGCAACCAATCAAAACAAAATCCCTACCAAATCAATACTTGAAAAGAAATAACCTTTATTCATCAGTATGGATTGATTAACACAAGTACTTTTTGACCGTAAATTTTGCTTATAACGGAATAAGGCATTCCTGTTGTTAATGTAAAAATGTCTACTTTTCCTTGTTGTGTTTATTCATGCAGTAATCATCTTTCCTGTTTTCTGTGTTATTAAATGAATTCATTACTCCCATTTATAATCATTAAATAACTCTACTACTTATTTATTTATTTAATTTTGTGATTTTCACAGGTCCTTTAGAGAATACAATCCGTGAATTTTGGATGACTGTCTGGGAGCATAAAGTTGTCACTATAATTATGCTGACTAAGTGAGTTAGTTCGATATTAGTTAGTTAATTAGCTTGTTTGTTTTGAAACGGTAGAAGACGAAAGACTTGGTAAAGACACATACCTTATCATCTTCAAATCATCACCATTTGTACAGATCTTCCGTGTTGTGTTACTTTTCGCCTTCCTTCATATTGTGTGTGTGTGTTTCTTTGAGTTCCTTTTCTGTTATGTACTCGTCGAGTAGTTAATAGTCGTGACGCGGATGGAGGGAAATCAGGAGGCCACCGGGTTTACGATGATACTTGTATTTTCCAGACAGGGAAAATAAATGTCACACTAGTGTGTGAGTGAAATGGTACGAGTGTACGAAACGTGTGTGAACAAGAATAATAAAGCAAGAGGATATATGAAAATGGCTAATACACATGAACCAATAAACTAATGTCTTACCATGATTGGTTGTAATGCCATGTGATAGATAATAAGGTCATGCATTGCTTATTTAGTTAGTGGACAGACAAAAGCATAATGTCAGTTATAATGGAATATCGAACCATATACACATAGCAAAATATAACAGACTGTCAAAAAGAAAACACAAATCATGTGGATACATACCATTTTCACAATATTGAGCAATATTGTGGTTAGGCGTCGAGTTCTAGGTAAGCAGGGGAAATCAATCAATGAGGCTGTGAAGTTACAAAGACTGAGATGGTTAGGACATGTCTTACGTATGCCTAGTCATCGCCTTCCTCGACCGACGGGAAATGTTAGCTCACATAGGGCCAGGCTGGAAAAGAGCTAGCGGAGGTCAAACCAAAACATGGCTTCATCAGTCAACACTTGGTCTAAGCCACGTAGGAAGGTGTAGACTTCCTAACTGGCCGATTGGGGTCCTCGGGACGGTGAAATCAATGGTTGGAAACAATTGGTGATATGGCTCAAACTCATCTTTCTCAATGGCTAGCTCAGATGCATCCACTCCTTGTGACTTATGATCTCCAATGAAACTGTTTTGTTCTTCGTTACTACTATTTCTTTGTCTCACACCTCTGTTTACTGTCTGTATTATGCATTTCTTTTACTTTCTTCTCTTGCTTTGTGTGCTTCAAAGAGGGAGAGTGGCGATTTGAACTGCCGCATATTTGTGCAAAGTTCTATGTCGAAAATAGGCAGACAGACTTTTCACATTGTCTCCACGACGCTGTATCATTTGTCTTATCTAATATCATATACATCTTGCCATTTGATGTTTTTATGCCGATAGATGCCTCTTATTTATACTACTCATAAATCTTTTCAGTAGCACTCGCCACAGTTTGTTAATTGTTTATTCATTCTCCGCGTTTTCTTTTGTTTTGTTTTCCTGTCATTTTTATTTGTTTGTTTTTTTTGCGACAAAGTTTATTTCTTATGTAAACAACATACATTGTCCATGTTTATTTTTGATCATTCACTGTGAATAATTGTCATCATTCTTATTGATTTTTAGCTGGCAAGGTTAAAGAACAATCATCCAACCATAGGAGGAGAATCAGTCGAATTTAGCCAGTCATATTAAGATTATTATTATTGTCGTTATTTATTCTCTTGAATTCCTAGTGGAATATAGAGGGATTCAACAAAACAGGCTGACTGTGTCCTTCCCTATCTGGCCCAACGAGTCTCCATAGTCTCTCATCTCCTCCTCCTCCTGCTCCTCTCACGATCCCCTCGATGTCACCCTCGGACTCACGCCCAACTTGTTGTTTTCCAATCAGGCTACACTTGAGGGTCTTCCTGGCTCAGAATTGTCACCCAACGGTCTCCTCAGGGTTCGGGATCTTTGTTCATTCTTTCTGGCGGGCTATCTGATTCTCAGTATGGAGTCAGAGGAGAAGGCAGTTGTTGATAAAATTCTTCAGCTGACTGCTAGAAATGCTTCTGGTGACGCGTTCGTCGTGCCTCCGACCGACCCGTATAGGAGCAGTGACTGACTTTACATATGTGTGTGTTGAATTAAAGCTACTTCGTCGAATCAATCTTAAGTGGCAAGACTTTCCTGAGACTGTTCTTCAGTGTGAATCTATATGACCCTATCAGGGACCAACCTTTCAACCCACTGGGTTAGAACGCAGTGCTCCTGAAGTCATACTGTGGTGAGAGCTGACTGTTAGCCAAAAGTGGTGGACAGCAATTTACGTCAATGTTTATGTTCCCAATACTGGTCGTGAGAAAAATGAGAACAAAGGCTTTGCGTAGGCGGATACAGTTAACATATAGATGATCTGAAGAGATGCAAGGTTAACTTTTTGTGAGGAACAACCAATCAGAGGACTGTGTCGTTCTGCGAACAATAATCTATAAAAATGTAGATGAAAATCTATAAATATGTGTTGATTTCCTTAAAAACGATCTGTTTCCTTGCCCTTGTCTTCTGTTGTAACATAAAAAATCAAAACAAGTGATTCGGTAAAGAGACTCTTTTCAACGAATTTATCATCAAGCTGTACAGGTGTATATATATGGTTTTTAAGAAGTTATATCCGGTGAGAGAATTGAATCATAGGTGTGAATGCATAAAATAAAAATAATAATAATATGAAGTTCAATTAAAACTAAAATGTTTGATTATAATCATAATTAAATGTCAAGTGGCAAAGCAAATTAATGTCATATATAGAATAATTCATAGGATGGATTGATCTTGAAAAAGGGTGTGCAATTGTAGGATTAGTAGACAAATCGAATAAAACAAAAACGTTACGTAATATTGTGTGAAATTTAAAAGCATAGAATTTATCCTTGTAAAAATAGAATTGATTTAGAATGACAAGTGGAACAAGTGAAATGATACCGGGGACAGTTCAAAGTGAGAGTAGTAATATTGACGTAATAAGGAAGAGTATACAAATTGAATAGACAAAATGAAAAAATGAAAAATTGGTAGAGTTAAAATATGATTACGGATTACCAGACTTCAGCATAGACGAGGGATTAAGACCATGAAAGTTGGAGGGGAGGGATTGAACGAACTTTTTCTGTACACAGAGATCTGGCTTTTCTGTTTTGATTGTTAAAGATGGCTCCAGCAATACAGATGTGTCGGGTACGTAGGGATTTGGGTAAATTACTCTTTGCCTTGTAGATGACTTTAAAGGCGGAGGCTATAGAGATAGGGTGATCATTATCGACCAGATGTTCAATGATCACGCCTACTATTGGTCCACTTCCATTTTTCCGTAGCCATGCAGGATAGTGTTCTTGCACCCTCCACAAGAGCAGGTGAATTGATAAACGCACATAGAGTTGGTCAACAGCGGCATCTTGTCCTTCAGGTTATTGAACAATAATGGTTGGCTAGTAAAAGCTGTTCTCTGAGATGCAGCAGGGAGTGTTCTTTTCACGGACTGTGACATCTTTTATTTTATTATATCGGAAGCTAAGTCCCCTTTGAATTACAAGCTCATGTAAAGTATTTTCTTGGGAACGGTTGATAAGTCACGTTTTGTAGGCTTTGAATGTATATTCTTGTCTATAAAACGTGGTGGAAATCCATTTTCGATTAGGATTTTCCTCAAAATGTATAACTCATCTTCCACAGTACCAGTGCTACATATGCGCCGAATTCGAGTGGCAAGCGACCGGACCAGGTTTGGTTTTCGACCAATGGGTACCCAGCTGTAGAAATTGTAATTGAACTTCATTATTATTATTATTATTATTTTATGCATTCACACATATGATTCAATTCCCTCACCGGATATAACTTCTTAAAAACCAATATATATATATATATATATATATATATATATATATATATTATATATATAACCTGTACAGCTTGATGATAAATTCGTTGAAAAGAGTCTCTTTACTAAATCACTTGTTTTGATTTTCTGTATGTTACAATACTTCACTCATATTTGTAATATGGTGCCATCACCATCCATTTCTATCGACGATCATTCGTTCCACGCTTGATACAATGTAGCCTATCGCCTTGACGAATTCCACATTGAAATGAATTAAAAGCCCTACTAAAAATCTCGAGCTCACTAGGGGTTATGCGATGAATGTCCTGAAGTTTTCAGAAGAAGTTGTAGCCGATAAGTAAGACTGTAATGGCAGAAGAGAAGAGAATTGGTAGCGAACTTTTGTATTATGGAAAGCACATCATGTGCGTCAGTGGCACAGTGGTTAGGACTCTCGCCGACCATGCAAATGGTCCGGGTTTCGATCCCCAGCCGACTCACATCTGATATCAATGGTCAGCCTGCGAAATTTGGGCTACCAGCATGTGATATCATGCTGAGAATTCCATACTTGTACCAAAAATACAGCGAGGAATCAAGCTGTAATCCAAAATAAATAAAAAATAAATTTTCAACCACATTAAAAGTCGGCTAGATCAGTGGAGAGTATACAGCCCTGATTGGTTAGCGATTGGCCTAAGGTTAAACAATTATATGAGTTAGGTCGTCCAACGAGAGTATTTTATGTCTACAACGTGAACAAGATCCAGGTTTGAGAAATCAACACTTCTAACTGTGCTGCCATTGATTAAAAATGTTGGTTTAAATTTTGACCGCTTTCTATCAATCTGCATCAATATACTACTGAAAATCTTGTCAGTAGAACACGCCACAGATACATGGTGTCAGGATGAAGTAAATACTCAATAGCACTTCCATTATGGGTAAAATTTTTGTTTTGATAAAGTCTCACAGCCTTATACAGTAATGTTTATTGATGACGTTTCAAGCACAATTCACTACTGCTCATAATCATATCAAGGCAGCACTCACACAATTCCATATTAGTTTGATTATTAAATGTATCACACAGTGAAACAGTATTGTATACTGGATGACGTTTCGAACACAATTTATTGTTCATAATCATATCAATTTTTGTCACACGACTTCGAGATTTGATTTTTATAGTTTTCTCTGTCTTCTCCTATTTGTTGTATGGGCAGTAGAATTTTCCATATATCTGGGACAGGTGTTGAATCATTCCTATTACATGTATTTGCAGTTGATTCGATAAACAA